TATATATATATATATATATATATATATATATATATATATTGGCTGTATATGTATATTATCAGGAGTGGATAATACTTTGTGTGTTTGTATCCAAATGTATTTGTATTATCCACTCCTGATATTATATCTATAAATATTTACACTAAAATATATACACACACATTACATTACGCAAGGCTCCACACTAACTGTTTTTTTCAGTGGCTCGATCGGGCCACCAAAATCATTGATTTTCAATTTTTGGTAGCCCGAAAATGAAATCTGGTGGCCTGAAAAAAAAACCGCTCATATTGCAAAAAGTATCGCGCGTAAGCTAATATCATTAATTTTTTTAAGCCTAAAATTACCTTTAAAGCCGAGCCGACACTCAGATGCGTCTAATAACCAATACGCTAATTTTCTCCAAGTACAAGAGCTAGCAGACAATACTTCGTGTCATGCATAATCACACTACCTTAATGACAAAATAACCTCTAGTATGCCTGCACCATTTCACTGCGCGTTTACTTAAAACCCACAAGAAAGAGGTGAAAACATGCGTAATTCTGGCGCAAACGCCGACTGTATTGCCAAACAATATAGCCCGAAGTGGTGACGTGACCGTCACCATGTTTTATCTTTGCTACACCGCGACCGCTGTACCGCAAGCACCGCTGCACGGTTGCTTGGGGATTGGGAAAATGTCAAACAACATCGGAGAATTTTAACAAACATTGAGGTATTTTCAAAATACCTTTTATAAGACAGACGCGCAGCTGAAATGGAGAACTAGAGTTTATTATTGTTTTCATAAGGTAGTGTGATTATTGCCATGCCACGAAGTATTTGCTAGTCTAAGTACGAGAAATTAGCAGTTTGACACTGCGCATTGTGAGCCTTTAAATCGCATCTTTCACAAGGCATGATAATTTAAAAAAGAAAAATTTTTGTGATGCAAAAAATTACGCGCGCCTTTATAGAAAATGGACGGTTCGCAAAATATGTGATTGCAAAGTCGCATACCTTTCCGCACACGAACTTTCGAACGCTGGCCATTTCGCTTGGCGGATCCGAAACAGTGCACGCGGCACACATGGATAATAGCATTATTTTGTAACAGCCTGCAATGCCATGCCAGCTAGAGCTCCAGCGCAGCTAGCTAGCATATAGCATTATATACAGGCAGTACAGTGTAGGCACATTGGCGACTGGCGCGGTGTCTGCTGATTTGTGTTGCCATTTGATCACGCTCGCTCAGCGAATTGCTGCGCTCTGCTATTTGAATGAGATACTCAATTAGCACGTAAGGAAACAATTATTTTTATCACAGACACTTTGAAAATTTTTAGTGGCCTACGAAGCGGGGCCACAAATTTAACTTTTTGAAATTTTGGTGCCCGACATCCAAGTTTTGTTTGGCTAGTCGTCGAGCCATTGCATTAGGGGCGCCTCAACAGGGGGCGGTATTGGACGTTGGTAGCTGATCAACATAGGGCAGTTCTCAGCTTGTGCACAGGGGAGACATACAAAGCATTGGACTGTGTAGGAAGGGCCGTGACTGGATAGTCGTTTCAGGTAGAGGAGATCTCCAAGACACGGGAACGCCCAATGATTCCGGGTTATCGCAAGGAGTGAACAGAGGAAGACACGTGTTGGTTAGCGACAAAACGCGGATGCGAGATGTGAGAGCCATGATTGTTAGAAGGGGGAGAGAGGAAGCCGATGATGAGTCTAAGTGATGGAGAGGAGAATGAAGCCATGATGGTTAGAGGTAGAGAGGAAGTCCCGTGATGGTTAGAGGAGAAGAGGAAGCCATATGTATTGTTAGAGGGAGAGAGAGCCGTGATGGTTATGAGGGAGAAAAGAGGAAGCCATATATGTTAGAAGGGAGAGAGGAAGCCGTAACGGTTAGTAGGGACAAGGAAGCGCATGATGGTTTAGATGAAGAGAGGAGCGCGTGACCTGGTTAGAGAAAGAGGAAGCCGTGTATGGTTAGAGGGAGAGAGCCGAGCCGACGCTCTGTGGGCGGAATCAGGATTCAGTTGTTGTGGTTAGCAAATTCGCCCCCTGATAATCTTTAACCTGGGGATCAGTCCCCTACAGGCAAAAAAGTTAGCACTACAGCAGGAATCTACGACCCAAATTTACAGAGTCATCGGGGTAAGAACAGGTTTTCGGGCATAAACTCATGACAAACTCCAACAGTGGCACTTGTTGTCAGCAACTAGCTTTTCCTGTAAAGAATGTGTGAATTAAAACATGGCAATGTCCACAAGTACACTACTAAATTTCTTAAGTACCATTTGACAGTCTTACGTAATTGAAGGAATAATAATGAATCATTTGATCAAGTTGTCAACACCACACATAATTATTAATGTAAGAATAACACTAAGGTTTTATAACTAAGGTAAAACACAACTTATATATAATTTGCTGAACCCCGCGCTAAGCGAGGGCTTAAGTGACCTGTGATGCATGTGTTACCGACTGTTC